GTGACTGCACCTGCATGTCAGTGTGTCAACAATGTAAGAGTGTCCGCATACGGGAGTACTTTTTACATGGGTGTGTATATCAGTACATAATCGAGTAGATGTGTTTCTCAGTAAATTTATGAAGATGTGCATAAACCTGAGTATTTGATTATAATTTGTTTTTAATCTTTATATTGTCTTTAGATTTTAATCGTATTTGTATCAACTGTATGGCTTTGTTTTCAAGCAAACTCTGCTTACCGCAAGGCAATTGCTCATTTGTAGCCCATAAAGATTGTAATAATTAAAACTCTTAACAATAAATTATAATGATTATTAATATTATAACTATATATCGTGTTCTTGATAAAATGAAGGGCGCAGAAATAATATGCTGTAAGAGTTATTTCAATTATGAGTGTTTTCTTTCAATGAATTAAATTATTTTTCTCAAGGAAAACAAAAGTAACAGTCGTATTTTCTGATAATGGTATTTTAAAAGGTAATATATGTTTTTGAATACGAACTGCATTTACTGAATATCTGGATATACTTCTAAATGGTATATTTCAGGGCGTGTAATAAAAATTGAGAATTATTATTTAGGAATCTCAGCATGAATGAAAAGCTAGGAAAACAGTTGAAACAAAACTTTCCCTTCAAATAAATATTAGTTGATTATAATGGTAGGGCCAGACAGAAAAATCTTATTTGTTGCTTTAAGTGTAACTCCAAAAATGCAATAAAAGGACCATTGTTCAAGTGATTCTTTCGTTGATGGCTGAGGCCGGTATATCATTAAGAAGAAGCAGGAAAACGGCAGCCGTAAGATACGAATATATCTTTGCGGAAACGTATACTAATTTGATACTGCATACTCAATGACAACGTAATATCGCTTCTTGCTAAATGGGTATTTCTACAAATTGTGACAGATTGCTGAAGTTCGAAATAGCCAATCATAAGCAGTACTACATATTTCATATGAAGCTTATTCAAATCAGTGTGAACACATGCTTTCCAGAAGTTAACTAGAGATGCAAAAACAGTAAACACTTTCAGTCAAAATTACATTTGGGGGAATAAGGCTGAAAGTTGACCCGCGAGCGTTATTCACGGCTTGCGAACGAACGGGCGAACGGAGCGGACAGGCGGGCGGGCCGACGGGCCGACGGACGGACGGGCGGACAAATGGACGGATGGACGGACGGAGAGATGAACATTTTACTGTCATTGGAGTTTTTGGTATCAAGGACCCACAAAACATGATTCTGGCTAACGTGGCAACGTGTAAGAGTTTGTTTCTAAATTTAGTAACTGGGTTTATCAACTTTTTCGTTTCCAGAGCCCTGCAATACAAGTTTTTCTGCCGAATATTCGCCGTTGTTTTTTTGTTCAGCTTGACATAACTTTCTCCCTAGTGCCTAAGTGGGTGGAATAAAGTAAAAAATACGTTAATGTTGGTATTTCAGCCCTTATGCACTGGAATTTGCACATTTTTACAGTTCATTGGTTGAAAAGTGTTTCTTTTCGGTATTCGTGAAGCAAAATAGGTTTCACCTTACGCAAACAGCAACTATCGCAGAACAGAGCTACCGTAGAAGGTGAACTCGGTCATTGGGCAACGAAACGTTCAATACTTCACACGCTCAATAGGAAGACTGGGTTCATTGACGGTAGCATCGCCAGGGTCTGTCCCACGTAGCACTGCCATATCAAACTATTCTCCTAGTTGTCCAATATGAATAATATTGAATTTCTGTTGTGTTTTAGTTCTATAAATTACCAGGTAATAAAAATGATAGGGGATTAAAACTCATAGTCAACAAACTTTTTCTGTTGGTTTTGTTTACAGGATTTTCAGAAAAATCTCTTTCTTCTTGTTCTCGGCAATATACCGAACGCTCCTCGTAATGCAACACAAGCAGGGTTGTCAGGTCATATCCTCTCCAATTAAAAACAAAATTCCCCAGCTTTGAAACGAAAGCAATTTCCGCAAATTTTGAATAAACGACCATGGCCCTGATGATTCCACAGGCTGTTTTCTGAAATTCTAATAACTCAAATCAACTCATCGTCCGTTGAGGTCCTCGAAACGTATACTATCTTTGTTTTTCTCGGGTTTTTATTTTTCTAAATGTGTATATTGTTCTCTTTTTGATATATTAAAGTGAGAATAAAGTACGTTGTTTCTTTTATTCATAATTATTAAGACAATATTTCCGTATCGGCTGCGGATGAACATAATTTCCCAAAACACCCGCAATATTTTCATCCAACAATTTTATTCTCATTTGTTTTTTTACTATTATCGTCTCGCGAGAGACATTCCATCGAATATGATAGGAGATTTAGCTTCCATCGAGAACTATAAACAAACTTAAAAAAACTAAAACCTTCAATACGATTGCGGGCCATTTTATTTCATTAGTTGGGCGACCCAAACCCGATCTCAGCAGTTTTGTCGGCTGCCCTGACACGCCATTGGGGGGGTGGGGTGGGGGAGGATGGAACCATGCATAACGCAGTGAAGCACATTGGGATGATTTTTAAATTCTGTATTCACTAGAAAAGAATCTATTAATCTACACTTAACCTATTTTTACATTAAGAGATTGTTTAGTCTGGCAGGGTGCATACGTAAGAGGCTCAATCTTCTCTCCAGATATGGATGTGTGGCGTCATACGGGGCTAATCGGAACGCAGACGATAGTGATTTGTAAAACAGTAGATTTATTCACAATCTAGACCGATGTCTCAGTTAAACAACTACCCTGCTTACAATAAACAAAATAAATGGACCCACTACAAGGAGAGAGAATTTACGAACGGCTACCGCACCGCAACATACTACCGATGTTCCCTGCGTGAAGCAGCGCTCTACCTCGAGACGATCTACGCGTCTCAGAAGTCACGACAATGAATTGCCGGCCACTTGCCCTACTGCACCTACAAGCACAGACACGCGCATCACCTTTCGCCGACGCCGCTAGAACAAGAAGACTGGGGCATTGTTCTCTTTGCCTTATATAGGCCCTTTGACGCTACCCGCCGCCTCCCATTGCCTCCTCCCCACCGCCGCCCTGGCCACGTTACATCCACGGAAAGTCCCAGTGCGTCATCACTCCGCTGTTTGTTCAACATCCGGCAATGCCCGCCGAGTGCCACGTTTGTCTCTGTACCGCGACACGACGCTACAGATGAAAGAAACTTTTATTTTCGACTAATAACCTTTCGCGAGTCACAACAAATGGTATCGCGGGCCGCATTGGCCCGTGGGCCGAAAGTTGGACAATCATAAACTAGACTGATCTTATCAGCAGAATGTTTGGCGATAGACATTTCATGGACCTACCAGTATAATCAGAAATTTAGCTTCCATCAAGAACTATAAACAAACTTGATGAATATTATACATAAGCGATTAAAAAATATATCATCTAAAATTTGGGAGAATTTTCCCCTCCTTATCTTGCTAAAACCTTTCATGTTTCCGGGACGCGAGATATGAAACACATGTACATAACAGGTATACGCGCACAAACGGCCAGGTTAGGGCAAGCCCCTACCCTATCTTGAGGATCAGGAGCCGGTGACTTCCGTTTGTGACCGTTGTATGCACTAAGGCTCGCTCGTGTTCATCCCTCGGGAAGAGCGGTCACGAATCAATAGCTTGCTTCTGATGGACTTCTCTCTCTTGCAACTCCTGTGACCTTTTCCTGTTTTAATTTTTCATTTGCCTCTGCCCGTCTGTGTCTCCCTCTCTATCTCTTTTATACACACACATACAGACGAACACACAGTCAAGATTTTTATGATAAACACTCTACCATAATAAATATATTAGGCTCTTGAACTTAATACTTAAAATAATATTTATCCTTGTTCGACCATAAGAACTCGCAAATGTCTTCATATAATAAAGGTTTTAATAATATACGCAGCATCTGACAAATTAATATTAATAACTACAATTACTATAAAAATTGACCTTTGTGCTATCCACAGAGCTACAGCTACCAACACTTCAAAGTATTTAATTGGCCTGATGTATTTCCTAATACAAAATTACTACATCTCCACATTGTGTGAGTGTAGTGAGAATCAATACACATTACGAGTGAAGGCGAAACGTATTAATTTCAAGTGGTTAGTACGATGGATATGGGTCATGTACATTTTTATTCTATTTCAGTTGTCTTAAAATAAAAATATAACAGTAAAAATATGTAGTTCATTCAACATTTTTTATTTGAAATCCATCAACGCATAAAATATCACTGTGCGAAAGCTTACACTCGTTTGGAATTTTTAGAAATGAATTCATCCTTCAGTTTCTCAATATCAAACTTCAGATAGCTCTGGGAAGGAGTGCAAGATCACTTCATGATTGAATCGACTTTGCAGCATCGTCGAAAGCAAGTTTTTTACCCGGTGTAGCACAGAAATCCTTCTCTCGTTCGAGCACGATGATCCTGGTATGGTCATAAATATTCGAATAAAGCGCAAATACTAGGGAACAAGTCCCATGCATCCCTCATGTTCGCGCATAAAATCAACGACCTCACGCAAATTCACCGGATTTATCCCTTTTCTTCTAAGGATCCACAAAGCTATGTCTTTATCGCTCTCTAGTTGCTGAGCGTCGAAATCGAAGTTTGAATATTAGGTTATGTTTTTTGGTCTATTTCGGAAAGACTTTTTTCCACCAGGTTGATGGCGGCAATAAATATGTTAAGTTGGAATTATGTTTCCAATTTTTGTCACAATTTCAGGTGGGTGTTTTCCCACTTTGAATATTTTCGTGTGGGTAGTACTACCCAGCGTACCCACCTCTTCCGTATGTCCTGGACTTTCTATAATGAATTACTATTTTGACCAGTTACATTATTATCCTCGCATCCTAATTCCTACGCCCACGAGGCGACATTGGATTCCTCCAGGACAGATGGGAGCATTTATATTTGTGACGCACCGCGTAACCTTTCGAATTTTCATTATTTGTGAGTATTATGTCGTAGTGTACTTCAGTTGCTGCCGTCTGCGAAATTGAATCAGTCGTTCTGCTAACATCACGACAGCTGCAACACCATGACCAAACACCAGCAAGAAGAAAACACCAGATAACTGCTTCCTTGTCATTGGCTGAGGAGACCGATCTGGTCCATGTCCTCTTGGTATCAACACACCCTTTGCGATAAGTTTGTTAGACTTAATTCGTTCCAACTGATTGTAAAGATCACCTTCCACCATACGCATCACAAATAGATTCAACACATCGTAAAAAGGCATATTCTTTCGAACAGGGTAAGCACCAAACGCCGGTGATACTACACACTCGGGCACTTTGTACAACATCGGAATTCCTCGTAACGTCAAATTTTTGAACATCCGGTAGTATTCGTAATCTGTCTCTCCTAACAAATAGCCATCTTCTCCTTTGCGAACAATATCGTGCAAATCGCGCAGCCGTTTCTCTTGATTCGTGGTGCCCGGTCTGTACTTGTGACTCAGGCTGTGGAGCGCGACGGCGGATTCTGGATGTTGGAGAATGTAGTCGTAGTTGCGGTACGAAGTGACGTGTTGAACCGCCGAATCCGCTTCGGCCAGAGTAAGTGGATCGCTGTAAAGTGGTGGGTATGCGGCGAAGCTGAAGAAAACGGCTGCAAAGGGATTCACCAGCACCAGCACTGAAATGAGGAGCGTGGCTTGCACTATGCGTTGGGGCAAGGAGCGTGCCTGTCGGTTGCACATGCCAGTGAGTGTCACCTGAGAAGAGAATGAAAAACTATTTTAGTCAGGCGTTAGTAAAAGCGTTTACTTTAAGGTATACGCTGTACCCTGAAAGTTCAATTTTTAGCCCTACTGCTGAAGGTTGTTTTCAAATGATCAGATAAAACTATGAATGCAATAAAGAAAACAAAATGCTTTCCGATGAACTATGATGATCTTAATGAAATGCGGTAACCAATTAATTGATTTGTAAACTTGAATTAAAATAAAATCATAGTAAGGGTAAAACATAGTGCGTGTCACACGTGGTAAAAGTGCTTTTATTTTGGTAATAGGATTTCATTTCCTACTAAAGTGTCACTCTTAACCATTCGAATTATAAACAACTACTTTATAATAGAAATATAGTGCATTCCGTGCCCACTGTAGGCAAAACTAGCCGACCCTGAAGTAGATTCTGACAAACTTTTATTTAATTTGACAGTATTACAGCAAATATTGTTCTAGAAGGTGTTTGTTTGTTACGAAAGGCTTGAAACATTGCCCGTTTCCAGGTGTGGGAAAAACACGTTTTCGAAGTTCAATGGTAACACACACGACACTGTGTGTAGTCGTTAGGAATAATATTTTAAATCAGTAAACCGTACAATTTGGAATATCGTGCGTGTTTGAATGACTGAAGGAGGCACATCATCGCCAAGATGTAATGTTTTGGCCGAAACGTAAGGGAGATATGCATTTGTAATTGAATATATTCATTAGGCAGAATTAATTTGATAACAACAATGATATGCTTAAAAGTTGAAGATTTTCCAAATTTCCAAGACAAAATTAAGATAAGCTATCTGGAAGAGCAAAAAATATTTGAACTATTTAGGAAAGAAAGGATTACAGTAACTACTTACTCAGCTCCGGGTATTGAAATATATTTATCTAGATGAATCCGAAATACATTTAACTAGCCGAACAGAACACTAGGAAAAGCTGACGAAAGCTGACAAAGCTGCATATCCATGAATATACATATGTTTTATTATTTACTAAGATCTTTACACATATATACACGGATATTGTCTTGGCATATAACACCAAATCATTCTGTCAACCTTATCTTAATGTAATGGCTTAATTTTATAATGCCATCATTAGAATTTGTATATAAAGGGGCATGTGTAACAGTCGGTGTAACAGGCGGTGGTGTAACGGTTAGCGTTATTGGACTGATATACCCAAATTGGCGGGTTCAAATCCCATCGAAGCCGTGGATTTTTGAGGGCGAAAAAATCCTTCTTAAAATCCTTCCTTCGGAGGGGAAGTATAGCCGGCTGACCCATGTTAGTAGATTTACTTGTATGTAAAAGGTCATCGAGCCTAAATGACGCCTCTGAGCTAAATTCAAATCATCTGTTTCGTCGCCCAAGTAGTACCTCCTTTCTTCGCTAGTGCGGGTGCGTAGCGAAATTTCCGTGATCAGACGGGAAAGCGGGCCTGATGGCTTGAGTCTAGCCACGTAAAATAAGGCATCAATTCAATTCAATTTGTTTCAGACTTCTGAAATACTAATTGAAAATAACAGGTCATGTATTGATCAAGACTAAACCCAAGAAAAAGTGAAAGACAGTTTGTCTACCGGTCCTGTTAGGTAACACGGAAAATTGCGGGAGAAAATAAATAACACAGATCAAACAATTCTATCTAAAGTACAATAAAGAATGTAAAAGTCCAATGTGCAAAAGAAAAGAATAATTATATTTTAATAAAAAATATTATAACAATCAGAACTCCTTCACTTCTTTGATGTATTCCGTAGAATTGGAATTCACAAAAATGGTATATAACAAAATACATTAAGTACTTACAATTGATAGTCACATGAAAACGTTTTACCAATGACACAACACGATGTTCATAAACAAGACCAACTGCTCTTCCATTTCCCGCGAACTTGCTGAATTGCACATGACGCCATTTCTCCGTTTTCATTTTAGCCGCGAAATGAAAGAAAACGCAAATTTCGTTTTTATTAATAAAGGAAAGCTGCGATCAATTCAATATAGTGACCTCTACTCCCAATATTTTTCTCTTTTTTTGGTATCCCATTCAACGAGAGCTGATTAAGGACATCAAAACCGTTCTCTTTAGCGGTTTAATATACTCATATGAGATGTAAGCATGTATTTGTCATTTTAGGGTAGGATTAATCGAACGTTTTCCAGCTAGCGATGTTCCCAGGCCTGAACAGTGTTTTTATTTATTATGCACGCCTATGGTTAAAAGTGACGTGTGGCGAGCATGATAAATTCACATTACCAAACGTTATTTTATGTAGTCTGCCTGAGCGTTTTCTTTCGTCACAAAGATATAGAATCTGAGACGATTTGTATCAGAAAGCTACAGCTTCATTTTTGTCCCCACCGAGATTCAAACCCAGGGCCGCCTCAGAGTAAGCTAGCACCCCTACGAGAAATACCTCTAGGGATTATAATATATAATATATATATATATATATAAGAAAAGGTGGATAGCAGTGCAACGGTCGTAAGTGCCAAATGGCACCATTTTGTCATATACCCTCAATTTAAGCCAAAACTAGTAAAAACATATTGAAGTAGTAGGTACCTCAACAGTGTCGAAGAACGCACGTCCAAGGTCAGATGTTGGAGATCGGCGTGTTCTGTCAAAGTTTAGTTGAAATACGTGAACTGCGTGCCAAACCAAAGTTGCAAAAAAGAGGGAAATGAGAATACAGATCCACGCATTAACGTGGAACGGAAGTAATAGTCTCTTCACAAGTGGAATGTGCTTCGCTTTTCGTATCACCAAACATAAATTATCTTGTAATGAAGGAAACGTAAAATCAATGTTTTGATATCTGTCACTTGTCATGTAAAATGATACAAAGTAGGCATCATCACTTCCATTTGATATCCTATTGTACATGGGGAGTATATCTCCATCCGTTGTGTTGATAATTTTCATCCCTGATGTTTTCGCAAACCAGCTTAGTGGTGGAGAATTATCCCCCATAGGCATGGTCATTTGTCTTTGTTTCACACTTGATGTTACCTCTGTTCTCGAATGAAGATGTGTTAATATTGTCAGCAAGCATTTGACTTTTGCGAAATGCTTCCGAAATTGTTGACAATTTACTAACATACAGACCAAAAACTGGCTGCACCTAACACAGCTATTAGAAGTGATATTATTTACTTCGTTTCTATTATCGAGAGAATGTTTTGTTAGCAACAACATTATTGCATATTCTTGACTTTTAGTAATATGTTTGGAACGATTAATAATATTTTTGAACAAGTAGTCACAATATTCTACCAAGGCTTTAAACACATTTTCATCACAGTTTGTTGGTTTCTCATTCCATTGCCTTATATTTCCTTCTAGACAATGATCATTAATGCTTTTTTCAATGGAATTACACTCAATTAATTCACATGCTTTGAATGTTAGGGGATATGCACCATATTTTATTTCGGGTTTGTATTCATCACCTGCTGAATAGTTTCTGAAATTTAGTGATAACTCATTGCCTAAAATAACAGCATGCACTCCAGGGCGTATCACGTGGTGAATTCCCTGATTTATGCTTACGAGTTTGGAAATAGCATCGTTTTCGTTGTGTAGCCGCTTCAAAATTAAGTCCAAAACTTCCTCTATGCAGCAGCCGTAATGCACATTTGATTCTGCTTTTAGACCCGCGTAACATACCATAATTCCAACATTGACTGCAGACAGGAAAATTGCAGTGAATCTTATTATGCGCATCACAATAAATTTGTTATTTTGAAGGTACCTAACCCAAATGTTGAAATTCATAAATTGAATTAGTTACATTAGGCAGATAGCTACATTAAGATTATGCACTTGATCACTACGTTCTTCAATGACGAACTGCTACATACGAATATAGTAGCCTTCAGTGCTTCGTGAAAGGCTCGTATCATTATCGACCGTTATATTTTCCAAAACTAGTACGCTGCCCATTCAAATGGTATATCTCACTCTTGAAGAATGAAAATCACCTCAAATCATGAAATGACACAGTCCTTATGTATTTGTGTACGTACACTTCCTCCAGTAAGTGACACTAAAACATTGCAGAAGGTTGTGACTTAAATGCAGATGCAATGAGTAGAAGAAGCGGTCACGAAGGTTGTTGTCATTTCAAGCCTTATCTTTACTGTGATGAACAGCATTCAATTGCTTGGCTTTTATCACCCGATCTGCTATTTGCGAAAGTCAAAACAACGGCTAGTCGTCGTATTGACGCATCCATTCAGCAGATCTTGTTAAACTTCTACAAACAGAAGATTGATGATAACGTTCAAGTCACTGAATGTTGCAAATCGAAAACAGGTCTGAAGAGAGAGGTTTGGTCGAATATTTCTCACTTTCTTGCTACTGATTACGCAGTATACAGAAAGTATTG